ATCACATTTAATAATTATATAAAAATAATAAAATTATAAAATTATAAAATTAATAAAATTTAAATAAATATAAATTAGTTATTATTAATTATAATTTGCTTGGTGAATTTTAAATAATTTGTGATCAAATTTAGATAGTTTTTAGGCCAATTTTAGATAGCTGATTGATAACAGATTGATATTTCTGATTAATTCATATTGTGTTAATCAGAATTAATGTAAATTAGCCATAAATTAGCTATTAATTATCTATCAATCATCTATCTGATTTTTAGCTGATTTATACCCATTTTGACTAGTGATAATAAATGTTTATAATATCTTTATTTGATAATTAAGATACTTTTTTTTCATTTTTACACCTTCAAATCTTTGTAATTTTATGGTTAGAACTTATAATCATTTATGTGAAATCTCTTATATAAAGTATGTGTATGTTTTTAACGAAATAAATAATTTAGTTTTAAGCGATATTTTTCATTATACATATTTGGTATATTTTATCATTAATTCAGGAGTTTGTATTATATCACATTTTTTCAATTGTGATATTTTTATAATTAATGATGTAAAATTAACCAAATCAATATTATGCATATTCTTTTTGTTTCTAGTGAATTATAAATTAAAGTTTTGAGAAAACTATATATGTTATGCAAATTATGCTAACTATTTTATTTGATAAATAGAATATAATATAAATTTTTATAATAAGATTTTAAATAGATCAAAAGTTGGTTTTGAACTAAAATATTTAATTATGTTAATCAAAGTTAAATAATAAATTGGTTTTGACACATTTTTATATTATTGCAATCAGTTTACTATAGTAAAGTTATCTAATATTAATTCAATTTTAATAAAAATTGATATTAGAATAAATTGTAATAATATTTAGCTATATATAATATTTTAGTATATATTATTATGTATGATTTTCCAATCAGAACTAATTAACTTCATTTTTATAATGTTTATTATGAAAAATAATCAGCAAATAATCAGTAAATATTTAGCAAAATATGATAAAATTAAGAATAAACACTATACTATTCTTCTATTTAATTACCTAAATTTTATCTTTTACTTTATTATTCATCAGTTTTCTTAAATTCTACTTTATTAATTTTTTCTACTTTATTTACTTCATCATTATTTTTGTTCTTATCATCATTTTCATTTTTATCAACATCATTATTTAAATCTAGTTAGTTACCTAAATACTTGATTTTGAATTGGTACTAGATTTGTAAGTTTTTGTATGAATTTGCTAGAATTGTCTTTCTTTGTTTAACCTTATTATTAAATTATAACATGTTAAATATAGATTATATTTAAATATTTGAGAAAAATCTATTCCATATGAATAAATTGCTATTGTTTTAGCTTAATTCAAACAGTTATGACTCACATTCTGAAGTAGCTAGCTTTTTCTTTTTCTTATTATTTTACTTAAATCACATTGACATTGTTTAAAAGATAATAGTTTATTGCAATTCAAACATATTTGACACATAAACAAATGCCAATCTTGAGTAGGGTACTTTTTCTTAGGCATTATGACAAATATATATATAATGAACGCGATATAAAAATTCTTGAAATTTGTATGCTAATCAATTTATCACGTGATTTTGTTTTGATTTTGTGTTTTGTGTGGTGTTTTTGTCGATCATCATGCACAATCAATAGCCAATTTGGAAATATAATAATAATAACGAATGACAGCAAATATTAATATTTGTTTGGCATATTATAATATAAACATTGTAACAATTTACATATCATTTTCCGAGCTTTTAAAATTTTAATATTAAAGAAAGAAAATGGACGAGTAAATGTAATAATAATAAAAGCTCATAATTTTGATAAAGGTAGAACTATTTATAATTCTTTAACATGATATATAAATTCTTTTTAAGATTGAACAAAGTTAACAACTATAAAGAGTCGTCGATCGCATGGAATATACATAAAGTATGTGGAATGTTACACAACTTTTGATTTTTATTATTAATTATTTCGTTTCTGGCTTTCCTGCTTTCATTTTAAATCATGACTTGTAACATTTGCATATCATTAATATATCGCTGCATATTTATCATTTTCGTTGTTTATTCTATGTTCTTGGGAGTTGAATCATTTGCCCCTAAAGGACGTTTGGCACATTCTTCTATCCTTTTGAGAGATAAGCTTTATTATTTTGGTGGATCAGATAAAGATATTCAATCTGCAAAAGAATTATTTTATCTTGACGTATCTCAACCATTTGATAAACCAAACATACCTTGGGTTTTCCTTACTAGTATTCCCTTTGGAAGTATATGGTCAACTGTTTCATTAAATGGTATAAATAACGATTCAAATATTTATTTATTTGGAGGCATGATGATTGATGATGATTATAAAGATTCATTTACTTCAGTTATCCATCAATTTAATGTAAATTCCTCAACGTGGAGTATACCTTCTGTTAGCGGAATTGCACCTGAAAGACGAAGAGAAATAAAGGCTGTTGGTAATAATGGAAGGCTATATATTTTTGGTGGGAACACATTTCCGACAACAGGTTCACCCACATTCAAGTTTTTTAATGATATGGTCATATTTGATACTATCGGTTTATCATGGACAAATATTTCTTCAGTTGATGCACCTAGCAAACGAGCTTTATATACTGCAACATTATTAACGAATGGTTTCATTGTATATATTGGAGGTTATGAATTTAAGGAGGACGGAGACGTCACTGTTGTAGATCTTAAACAAATATATCTTTATGATACAAATTCTTTAACTTGGTCATTAAAAGTATGTATGAATTATATTTAAAATATTAATAGTAAAAATTTTGATTTCAACTCTTATGGTTTCAAGGTGGCAAGTTTCGCAAGTCCGATCGAAAATCGTGTTACGCATACAGCTGTATTAGGTTCGTATAATATTAACATTTGAATGTATTATTTTATCATATATTATAACTACATTTTTTTATTTGTTTGTTTAAAAAAGCTCCAGATGGTAAAATTATTATCTATGGAGGTTCTAAACAATTTGTTGAAATTGTAAATGCTAGAGCTGTTCCAGATATTGCTGTATTAGATACAAGAAAAGAACCATTTGAATGGGATGAACCAAAAGTAACTTCAAATATTGGTTCGGTTCCATCACTTACAGCTCATACTGCTGATCTTGTTGGATATTATATGATTGTTGCTTTTGGTAAGTTGTTTTACATTACTTTATAGAAATCTTCAAAGCTTTAATTATTTATTCTTATTTATGTTAGGAAACATTACAAAATATTATTCTGAACCTTTAAGTCTTCGTAACTCCGATATTTATATTATGGATATAAGAAACTTTACTTGGGTGAATTCATTTGATATAGCCGAATTTAAAATCGATACGCCTAAATCAAATAATGTAATGAAAATAATAATTATCACAATTAGTTCAATGAGCAGTATTGGTATTCTTTCTATTTGTGGGATTTTATTTTACAGATGGCAAAAAATCAGAAGAGAAAACCATGCTTTTGAACAAAAACATATACAAAATGCAGTTAATAATAACGTTATAGGTTAATATGCAATCGAGAATTTGTCGTTGTCAAGATAATTATTGACAATTAAATACTCTTTGATTCTCGATATTTTTACTTGTTCCTCGTATGATTAAAGCAATTGACAATTTTCTCAACATTCTAATTATAACTAAAATTTTTTTGAACCATGATCTTATTAATATTCTCAAATTCTTAATAAAAAAATATTGATTTACAGTTTATTAGGCGAGGCATTTCTACATTTGTATTTAAATATAATTTTAATTACTAAAATAATAATCATTTTTGTAATTATAAACATAAAAGAAAGCTCTAAAGTTGAAAATTTCATTCTTAATAGTATATAAATCAAATAAAGTTGGGGGTTTTTTTTATTAAGCTGAAGAAACCAAAGGAACATGTTATACGTCATCAGCAATTCAACCTTATTGTTTAATTAAATTCCGGATAATTTTTATAGGAACGTTAAAACAAACAACCATGAGTAAGTATTTATGCTAATATTGTAACAAATATTCACTCATAAAATTGATTTATATTTTATAAGTTTAAATATATTGACGGAAGTGGCGCAATAATTTTGTAATTCATGTGACTAAAAATATAATTTTAGATTTTTCTTTAAAAGGAGAAAATTACTAACGATTCTACCAAAATCAAATAATCTAAAAATAAATAAAAAAATCGAATCAATTGTATAGTGGCGCAGTAAATGCAATCATTTGAATGATCCGAGCCGGTCGGTTATTGGCCCGAATTAAAATTTCGATCGGTTGAATTAATTTAAAGATAATTAAATCAAACCGTCGGGTTAAGTTCATGCTAAAGATCTAATTTGTTCTAAATGATTTAAATTATAACAAACTTCTTTTGTTTTACGCTAATTTAATTATAAATTATTAAATAATGGAGCTATTGATCGAAAACGAAAAGATTAGCTTAGTGAACTTTTGACAGAGTTTTTTGAAGAAAATGATCTACCGTTGATACATAAATATACAAAAAATCTCCTAACTAATTGACTACGATGACTACAAGGAATACATGCAGTTCCAACGGCGTTACCCTGCATGTTACAGATATTTACCTCAACATGAAAAAGTGATACACTACAAAGCATTTTTGCCAAATACTGCATTATTTTCTTTATTCTCATGCAGACTAGGGGGCTGTGGCAACATGCATATGTTACATTGATATGAAATAAAATATTATATTATATTTTTTTTTTTTACAAAAAAAAAATTCAAGAATATATGATAAAAATGTCTTAAATTTCTAGATTTGCAAACCCTAGTTGTTCCATGTAGTCTATATTGTCTTCGAATCAATAACTGGATCCCGAAAATAAAAAAAATTTGACCTGAAACCCAAACCTAAAACCCACATCGCGAAGGGCAATTAACTGTACAGTCATACACAATTTTGTATTATTTTTTCATCCACCTTACGTCACCTTATATTTTTACCCCTGCATTTTCCTTTTTGCTTATTGTACCATCTGATCATACCATATTTAAATATTTATTATTGTATATACAATAATGGTTTACTGTGAAAATAAAAATCCAGAATAGTAAAAAAAGAAAATTAATTACAAAAAAAAAGAAAAACATGCAAAGTTTTTTAAAAATGAATCTTAATTCCTACTTAAATAAAGGATGAATCATATTAGAATTACTTTCATTGAAAAATATGTAAATGTAAATCTTTTTATTTGATGTGATGAATAAAAAAAAAATTATTTCTTTGTAAATGAAAAATATAGCTACGCCATAATAAATCGTTTAATCGGATCGATACCGAAAATCAAATTCAAAATCGAAACTCAAGAAACGAAGTAATCAATTATAAACCCTACACTGGTTATCAAATCATTGAATTAGAACTCAAAGGTTGTATTCACAGATATAAAAGAAATTGGTATTGTTGCAAAATTGGTCAATCAAATTTAAATCATTGATATGGCTAAATTTTTAGGAAAATTTCTTGGGCATTAGACAAGTGTGTATCACAATCTAGCATGAATGTTTGATCATCAATTTACAAAAGATTTTGTGGATCCGTTAAAAAAAAAAACAATAAAAAGGGTTAGATCACCCATTAATTTTGTTCAACCACCATTATTGAATTTATGAATTATGAGCGCATTTATAATATTTTACTACTTACCTATAATTTTCATGTCTGTTCATATGATCTTGGGAGTAGAATCATTTGTTCCTAAAAGACGTTTAGCACATTCCTCAATTCTCGTAGAAGATAAGCTTTATTTTTTTGGCGGTTTTGATGCTGAGGATTTTCAAGTTGCGAAGGAATTATTTTATCTTGATGTTTCTCGACCATTTGATAAATCAAATAAACCATGGGTTTATCTTACGAGCATTCCATTTGGAAGTCTATGGGCAACTGTTGCATATAATAATATAAATAACGACTCAAATATTTATTTATTTGGAGGCTACATGATAGATGAATTTGGTGATTTGTTTACATCGATTATACATCGGTTTAATATAAATTCCTCAACGTGGAGTATACCTACCGTTGGCGGAAATTCGCCTGAAAGGCGAAGAAGTATGAAGGCTGTTAGTAACAATGGAAAGTTATATATTTTTGGTGGAAAAATCGATGAACAATTAGGTTCACAAACAACCCATTTTTTTAACGAAATGATCATTTTTGATACTGTCAGGCTATCATGGTCAATTATTTCTTCAGTTGGCGCTCCTATAGCACGAGCTTTATATACCGCAACATTATTACCGAATGGTTTCATTGTATATATTGGTGGTCAGGCTAATAAAAACGGAAAATTAAGTGAAATAGATATGGGTCAAATTGATCTTTATGATACAAATACTTTAACCTGGTCATTAAAGGTATATTATGCATTGATATTTTGACAATTTATTCATTTCAAGAATTAATTATATACATATTTTTTTTTTAAAGACGGCAAGATTTACAAGTATAATTCAAAGTCGTTTAGATCATACAGCTGTACTAGGTATAAAACAAATTCACCTTTTTACTTTTTATAATTAATTTTAAATTAATTTTATTTTATGTTTGATTAAAATAGCCCCAGATGGTAAAATCATTATTTATGGAGGTTCTAAAAGAATTGGCAATATTACACGTTCTCGAGTCATTCCAGATATTGCTGTATTGAATACAAGAGTTGATCCGTTTGAATGGAGTGAACCAAACGTTACTTCAAATGTCGGCACGGTTCCATCACTTATAGCTCATACTGCTGATCTCGTTGGGAATTATATGATTGTCGCTTTTGGTATTTTTTTTTTTTACATTACTTTATAGGGAAATGCTTCAAAAATTTAATTAAAGATTCTTTTATTTTTAATTATGATAGGAAACATATCAGTATATAATTCTGAACCCTTAGGACCTTTTAATTCCGATATTTATATATTGGATATAAGAAACTATACGTGGGTGAATTCATTTGATATAACTGAACATACATCTAATCTAAATAATACAAAGAAAATTGTTATTATAACAGTTTGTACAGTGATAAGTATTGGCATTCTTTCTATTTGTGGAATTTTAATTTATAGATGGAGTAAAATCAGAAGAGAAAATCATGGTTTGCCGACCGCAGTTAAATATGATTTTGATCCAAATATCTAAAACTTTTTGTACTGTACATGAATATTAGAAGCAATATCCCCTTAGAAAATTTATCATATTTTATATTGAGTTGATTTGATTTATTAAATACTTTTCTTTATTATAAAGAATTCAATTAACCTAACCTGTATAATGCCTCTCAGAATCTAGATATACTACAAATTTAAAAAGAGAGATAATAAATTTATCGAAATTCATAATTTCTTTTTATACATAAAAGACTACATTTTTTTTATGTTGCGGTATTTAGCCAAACGAAATAGTAATTTACATGTTCACATGATTGACATTTCAGTTGAATTTAACCGAATATTTTATTTCTACACCTGATCAATATTATTAAAACTCTTACTTTTAGTAAAAACATACAAAATATTTATACTAAAATTTATATATATATATTTAAATAATGTTTCAACGGCGATAATATCTTGTCAAGAAGAAAAACCTCTCGATAATAACAATAACCCAAAAGTGCCAAATACAGATGATATAATTATGATTTTTTGTGATAAAGATGATAAAGATGATGAAGAGACGGGTAATGATGGTGTAAGTGGTGTAGGCGGTGATAACACTGGTGATGGTGTTAGTGTTGGTTTTTCCAATTCATTGGGTGGTATATAATTACGCGTTAAATTCCACCATATTATAAAATAGTAATTAACCAAGTTACATCAAATAAAATACTATATCAAAAGCGATCCATACCGATTAAATGGCTCAGGAGAGAACCATACAAATTCATCATCAGCGAACGTGTGAGTACTTCCTGAGGAATTGAGCGCATCTTCATCAACATAAAAACCGCCATACCATCGGGTGCTATTATTATGAATACAATATTCAGTACAATTTCCATCAAACAAAATGTCAGTATAATATAGCTCGATAGATGCTATATGACCCTATCGTGGTAATGGAATTATACCATTTGCTTTTGCATTCTAAAATCGAAGATATCAATTTTGTACGAAATATAAAGTCATTAAAATGAATCAACTACCTACCTTTATATACCATAACGATAATTTTGCGTTATATAAGAGGATATGATCCATAGGAAGGTTTGTTGTACAATCAGAACCAACAATGTAAGCAATTTCACTGTTATTTAACATAACGGCAGCGTAATAATTAAGCTTGTAAGGCGCGATTTGTCCAGTTTTCCAAAATTATTCAATACATCATAAATATACATGGTTCCATTGTCATATATATAAATGGTATCTAAGCTGCTATCTGTAATACCGACAATTTTGGTACTAGATTCAATTGGCATCATAATTCCACCATTATCTTTTAGTGTTATTGAACTCCATGCTTGTTTCTCTAGTGAGTATCCGTATATAGTATCTCCAATAGGATTTTTTCGATAACCACCAAATAAATAAATCATTCCACCCTTGGCACTTTTGCATATACAAACGTATGTGCTACGCTAATTAGAGGAACTTTGACGCGAACTTCATAATGCATCTTAGTTGTGAAAATGGAACGCTTAAATCGAAAGAAGAAAAAATTATTGGTATAGATGTTTCATTTTCTTTTTCTGTATATTTCAAATCATATGCAGCAAATTCAAATCTACAAAATGGTTCCAAATTAAGTTTTCGGATGGTTTCGGATATATGAGGCGAAACTGAAGTTCACAGAACGAAAAGTTTCGGATTTGAGAAAATGGTTTCGCCCAAAACACTAAAATCTTCAAACAAATATTGATTGCCGAAGCGGAACCGACGATCCGATCTCCATCCCTACCAAAGATAGAATGACAGAACTTAAAAGAAGCCTTTTTTTATTTTAATTTTTTTTTTGGCAATTTACGTTAACTGTAATTGTACTAATAAATAATATAATAAATCTTCTAAGGACTATCCTAATATTATGATAAATATACAATTTGAATATTGACCACTAAAATTTCCACCAAAAATGTATATTTATTTCCAATAACGACGGATGTAATCTATTATAATTTTTGCAAGCCATAATTCAATTAATAAAGAAATATAACCCTTTATTTATTAAATTTTAATTTAACTGCATTTTTTTTTATGAAACACGCCGACCTTACATTTTATATATTGTTAAAAGCAACGGTATAACTTAAGATTAAGAATGCACGACATTTACCATGCAACATGATTTTCTAAAAAAAATTTGCACAAATGGCGCTATCCAAATCCTTACCGTCAAAATAGAGGCATTTTCCCTAAAAAAATCCCTGAATTTTTACTATAACATCGCTTTTTGAAAACCCCAAGAAAAGATTTTTTTTTAGAGAGCTGTGCCGGAAAATATTTTGTAATGGAATTTATTTTTTAGTTGTTTGTATTACTGTACTACATATTTCCGAAGCTGCTCACAAGTATAGGTTTCTAATAAAAACCAGTTTATAACCTTCCCTCATATGATTACATAAATTCAAACGTGCGCAACATTTGTCTGGACGATCTTTTTTTTGCAGGTCAATAATTTATTTTTTTTTCAATAGAAACTAATCAAGTAATTTTCTTGAAAATAAAAATTGAAGAGTTAAAAAAAAGTTATTCTAAAGTATTTAATTTCAAATAAAAAAATTCAACGATGTCACAAAATTTCCAAGTCATATCGATCACAATTATTTTTCTCATTAAAAACTCCATTTCAATTCCGATAGATGTAATTTAATTGGCCGCTTAAGATTTGGGGATATATTTGACACATCAATGGGGGCCTAAATTAAATCATTGTACAGTTAGTACAAAATGTACCACAAACATTACATTATTCGTTAACCATTTTTTTTTTTTTTTCGAACCTAATATTTATTTTATAAAGAAAAAAATTTTTTAATTTAGAATCATTTTTAGTAAAATGGTATTATTGTTTCACATTAACCAAAATTTTACTTATAAACAAATATGTAATTCATTTAACTTCGCATTTCTTTAATAATATCTTTGAAATGTGTTTAATATTATTTAATTTGTTTTTTATTTCATTTATTTTTCACTCCTTTCGAGTCGAATCATTTACTCCTTTGGGACGTTATGGACATTCCTCTATACTTTTAGGAAATAAACTTTATTTCTTTGGTGGTACAAAAGATGGTGATTTTTTTTTAAATGTTTTAAATGAAGTATTCTTTCTTGATGTTTCTCAACAATTTAATGTAAAGATTCCGCCATGGACTGACCTTACGGCCATTTCAGGAATGGACTTTAAAAGTAGCAGTGCAACTATTGTATTAAGTGATGATTACGATAATCCATCAATTTATTTATTTGGAGGAACAATGAAAAATAAAAATAATGAAAATTTAAATATTTCAATGATACATAAATTTAATCCAATATCCGTGCAATGGAATGTACCTATGATCGCAGGAGTACAGCCAGAGAGACGAATGAATATTCAAGCTGTTTTTAATTCTGGAAAAATTTACGTTTTTGGTGGATTTGCCAATAGTTTAGTAGGATTAGAATCTGGTATAATAGATTTTAATGATATGGTAATATTAGATATTAATGATTTTACATGGTCTTACGGTACTATACTAAACGCCCCCAAACAACGAAGTTCATATAGTGCAACACTTTTACCAAATGGTATGATTGTATATATTGGAGGCCTGGAAAGAGGTTTCTTAGTTGCAATAGGTCAAATTAATATTTATGACACAAAGTTAGCAACTTGGTCAGTAATGGTAATACAATTTCTATTCTTTCTATAATGTTTAACAAAACTATAAGTTAATACTATTTGTTTAATTTATTTAGCTTGCAAAAAGTAATGATCAAATTCAACCTCGTTTTAAACATTCAGCTATTTTAGGTATATATATGTATATATTATTTTTCTTTTTTTCTAATTACTATTTCTTTAACATCATTTCTATATTTATGAATAAATTATTAAAGTTCCCGATGGGAAAATCATTATTTATGGTGGTTCAGGACGTACAGCAGAAATTGAATATCTTAAAGTTATGCCAGATATTGCTGTTTTAAATACTCAAGCAACTCCATTTGAATGGACCGAACCGCAAGTATCATCAATTATTGGTGAATTCCCATCACTTACTCATCATTCAGCAAATTTGGTTGAAAATTATATGATCGTGGCATTTGGTAAATTATTTTCATAGTAATATTTTAATAATTTATATTTGACAAATTAGTAATTATTTTATTTTATTAATTATAGGAAGTATTACTTTACCAAAAGGAATAGAGACAAATTACAACACAAATATTTATTTGTTAGATATAAGAAACTATACCTGGGTCAATACGTTTATACCGGAACCTACACCTACAAACACAACATACAATCCTTCTCCAAAAGCTACAGGCGTTATAATAATTCGTGATGATAATCAAATAAATACAATGAAAATTGTAATTGGAACAATAAGCGGAATTTTATGTACCGCAATATTTATGACAATTGGAATTTTTATGTATAAATGGATTCAAAAAAGAAAGCAAGATCAAGTTATAAGAATACATGGCAATACGCGTAATTTATAATTGTTTTAATTGGCTTATACCTATATTACTTTACTCAATATGAACCAGCAAATATAACCATATATGTTTATTTTATAGGGGCAAAAATAATTCTTTAGTAAAATTAAAATTGATTTTAGCATTAGAGTTATTCACGTTTTATAGAATCACTTTTTTAAATTTTAAAAATTATAGATGACCAGTGATAGTTACGAATACTTTAAATGTACTCATTTTTTTCTGTTGGAATACTTTTATTAATTTTTACTTATATTTCATTTTATTACCATTTTATTATTAAACAATTACTCCATTTAACATTATGGTCTTTCCTCTTGGTATTTCTAAATCAACTAAATTTATTATAAATTATCGAAAATAATAAATTTAATTTATATTACTTTCATTATTTTTATCGTTATCCTATTTAAGATATGAATCAATAAAATACGAATTAATAGGTCTTGTTAGATTTTAAATGCAATTGCATCATGATTATTTTTTTTTTGTATTTTCATCAGCCTTCTCAAATGCTTCATTTATTAAAAAGAATTTGATCAAGATTTTCATTGACATAAATAATGATTATTAATTTCATTATTAGCGTAGTCATCTTCATTAATTATGGAAAGGGTAAAAAGATGTTTGCAATTAAATAGAAAATCTTTTCATGGAGTTAGAAATGAATTCAGAAGAAAATGAAAATCCTATGGCGTTGTTACATTGTTGCACAAAATTAAGTACATCCACTGTATTCTGATGCAAAAATAACAAAGCGAAGGAGGCACGTTAAAGGGTAAGATACATATTCATAATGTTACTATTACAAATCGATTTTTTTTTGGCTGTTCAAAGGATGATCTGACCGCAGGACAGTTTTTTTGCTAGAAGGGCTAAATTTGGTATTTAATTGATAATCGCAAAATTTATTAGATTTTGCAGATAGATTTGGCCAATTTTTTCTCTCCCCTGCCAAAATACTATCCGGCCAATATGCCGCGTGGCCAAAATGGCTCCTCAACTATAAGTCACTGGTATAAAAGTGGTGGGATTTGCTAGCGATTAAATGAATATTAACATTTTGATAGTATTATTAGTTTAGCATTTATTCCTTTCGCATTTTACAGTATTTGCAACGATAACGAAACTTTAATAAAATACGTCGTAAGAGCGCGGAAACACCTAATTTACGCAGTTTTATTAGTAATTTATTTGTTATTAATAAAAATCCAATTATAAACGCAAACCTTCTGCTTACCTTTATCGTATTCAACATAAAGAACTACAGTACCATTATTTGGACAATTGAATTGTTGATCGCCTCCTTTTTTTGTAAGAGGTAATTAAAGATTTTATAATTGTTTTTAATACGATTGTAAAGTAACAAAAATTATATGAATGTAATCAATTTGAATATAAAGTTTATAATGGATTAAAAAGAAATATTTTTATTAAGTAATTATCAAATAAATACAATACATGCAACTATTGCTACCACTGCTGACTAGAGTTTTAAATCGGATATATTTCTTAAATCTGGATTAGATAAGGATAAAACTGAATTCTTTCGTTCTATCCGGATTTAATAAATTCGGTTTATTCGTTTCATCCGTAATTTTTTAATTGATTGAATTGGGTAAATTAAAGTTTTTTCATTTTTTTTGATTTTTTATATAGAAATATTAGTTATAGTTTTTTTCCAGTTTATTAATTTCGCTTGGATATAGTAAATTTTTTGGATATTTTTTTTATTAATTAAAGAAATATGAAAAACAAAATTGTGAAAAGCAAATTTAAAATAAAGCAAAATTAAGAATAGAATACAACATTAATTGAAAATGCAGAATAAAATTAAAATAAAAATAAAGCAAAATGAAAAACAAAATTTTGAAAAGCAGATTTAAAAAAAAAAAAAAACAATATTAAAAAATGTGAATTGAAAATGTGAAGTAAAAATTAAAAAAAAAAGCAAAATAAAATATTAAAAAAGAAATTGAAATAAGAAATTAAAAAATTAAAAATTAAACAAGGCAATTAAAATACAAAAAATAAAAATAAAAATAAAATATATTTCAAAAATTGCAAATTAAAAATAAATATTTAAAAACAAAAAAAATATAAAGCAAATTAAAGAAATTAAAAAAACTAAACCCACAAAAAACCATACATTTACAAATTAACTAATAATTAAAAAACAAATGTATTAAAAATGAGAAATTGATATATAACAATGATATATTATACTTACATTTCCTCCATTATTTATTTCTTTCTAATTTACTACTTTATAAAAAAAATTAACAATTTATTAAAATAATTATAAAAATTAAAAGTTATTAAGTATAATCATAATATTAATATATTTACCATTTACATGATCTTTATTATGATTTCTTTATATATTAAAAGTATATCATTATATTTTTGATTAATTTCTAATAAAGATGCCAGCCGAAATTCCCTCAAAATAATTTCGTCATATCCCTTACTATGTTTTTAATATAGTTTCGACTAATTTCAGGTTACAGGGTTTCGTCGTACCCCTCACTATGTTTAATATAGTTTCAGCTGTTTATTAATTGCCTTTTTTGAGTTTCGTTTCTCATCTTTAATTTCTAAAGATATTAAGAATATTTGAAATAAAAATAAAAATCATATATACATATTTAAGGAAAATATTATATCTCAATTTCTAATTTTCTATTTTTTCATAAATTTTTAATCCTTTCTTGATTATATTGATTAGCTATAAAAAAAATTATAAAAAAATGTTAAAATATAATAAATATTATAAATATCAATTTGAAATTAATTATCTGATCTTTTCAGAATTTTATTTTAAATTCGTAGTAATATAATACTTTATTTTTAGTTATGTATCCTTTTAAATATCCTTTTATATAAAAATCTATATTATTAAACAAATTAATATTTTTTGTATATTAATAAATTATAATTATTTTATTTATAATTATTATTTACATTATAATTTTTTACTAAATTATCAAACTTATGTCGAAATTAATTTCCCATAAAATTTGTATTTAATTTTCCATTTATTTTACTTGCTAATTATTCTAAAACATATCCTTATTTTTAATATTATAATGATAAATCATATTACTATTTTTTCATTTTATAATTACAAGTTAGGTTTGAATATTACTTCATTTAATGCTTAATGTAAAAATTAGAAAAAAAAATAAAAGTTATAAATTAATTCAAAAAAAAAGTATATTTTTTAAAAAAAATTTTATAATTATTCATAAAATTCATCATTATTATTAAAATTAAATATATAGTATCCTCTTAACAGTTTTGTAGTCAAATTTGTCTGCAATTTTGAAAATTAATGGTTGATCACCAAAATAAAAGGATCATCTGACATCTGAGCCAATCGTTTATTTATATAAATTGGTTGTTTTTATCAAGATCTATTAATTCATTAGAATATTTGAATATTTAATAATAAATAAATATTTTTTTATTTTGATAATGACTTAGGCTCAAATTAATATCTAATAAAATGAGTTATTTAATTATTTATTTAATAAAATATTAGTTTCGTCATTGAAGCATTATTTTTATTATTATTATTTTTTTAATAAATAACATATTGCAGAATCTGAAGAATTAATTTTACCAATCCTTATTATTTTCATTTACTTTAGAATAATTTTAAATAATTGAGTAGAAATGTTTGTATTTTTAAAAATCAAATTTTCTGTTTCTTTTCTCAGCCTAATCATTGGAAAATGCCACATGAAAATATTGTATTTTTATTTACTATTTAATATATAATGTATTAAGAAAGTCTTTGAATGAATTCCTGTAATTAAATTAGATTTGCATAAATTTTCCATTTTAAGTTAGAATCCTGGTAAATAATATAGTATTTATTAATTATCAAATCAATCTTTTTTTATAGCATGTTGAACTTATAACCACATTTTTTTTTTAAAAAATTAATGAAAAATGCATATTTATCAAGATGTATATGCAAAAGCTATTCAATAATTATAGGATAAAGGAATACAAAATGCTAAGGAAATTAGAAAATGAACAGGTCTTCTAAGGTTTACTATATATTATAACCTTTCAAACTAAAAAGAAATGGAAGTGTAACTCACCAAAAATGTAGTGATCACCCTCAAAAATCCCATCTAAAAGCTCTAAAATGTTAGTCTGAGAAGTAAAAAAAATCCTGCAATATTATCAAAAGCGCTACTCACTAAATTATTAAAAAAAGAATTGCAAGTATCTCATATAACTGTTTGGAATCATTTAAGCCAATATGACTATAAAAAAATCAAGTGGTGTAAGGATACCTATCCTTACTAAAGAATATATTTGAAAATATATAAAGTGTTAATAAAAATATCTTAATAATAATTGGAACTAAACAGTATTTTCTGATGAAACAGCTTTTCAATTATTCAAAAATATAGTAAAATATTGGTATAAAGGCGAACAGCTAGTACGACAAATTCCAAAAAATAAAATAAATTTTAACTTGAGGCAGATTTTGAGTAAATAGGAAAATAAGCCTTTTTTGTTTTTAAAGAATAATAGATGGTTTTTTTTATGTTGAAAATTTAAAAAAACACTTTCCTAAAATTAAAAAAAAACTTGGGAGTCATTGGCAGTTTTAACATGACAATAATCATAAATATAAAAGTAAAATAACTAAATCATCCTCCCAATAGTAATAGATTGGCCTTCTAATAGATTTATTTAGAATATAACATATATTAAAATTTTAGTATTTTTAATAATACTTAATATGTCTTTCTAATAAAAAATTTTAAATTAAAGCTTTTTTGTAAATTTAATATTTTTGTAATAAATTTCATATGCTATTTAAATGAAAATCAAAAAAATCTGTAGATTAATTAGTAAAAATTAATGTTAAAAATTAATTAAAATTGATTAAAATTGTATGCAAATTTGCCTGCAATTTTATACATTTAAATTACATATTAAAGTTAAATTAATGATTAAAAACTTTAACTTATATTTAAGAATAATATTAAATAAAATAAAATAAATATTATATAAAAATTTTGTAGTTCTAAGATAAATATATAAATATTAATATAAAATTTAATTTTAAATATTTAACATAAATCATAAAATTTTTATTAAAAATACAAAAATTCTGTTCTAATAAAAACTTTCAAAAGATAAAGTATTTATTAAAACTAATATTTTTATAATAAAATTTATAATAAATTTAAGTAAAAATCAAAAAAAAATCGATAGGTTTAATAATAAAAATTTAAGTTAAAAATTAATTAAAGTTGTTTAAAATTGCATGCAAATTTGCTTGCAATTTTTTACCATTTAAGGGATAATATATTAATAATTATAAATTGAATACATCAGTATAATATGTTAGTAATTATAAAAATTAAATATATTAGATAATAATACTAGTAATTATAAAAATTGAACATGTTAAATAATAATATTTAGTAATTATTAAAATTAATATATAAATATTATAATATAAATAGTCAAATTAAACTGATTTATGCAAAAATTAATATTATTAATATTATATATTAATATTTAGTTTAAAATCTTATTTAAAAATTATATTATTATATATTCAGTTTAAAAATCTGAAAGATCAATATTTTAATCAACTATACTTCATTTATATTATTTATATTTTAAATAATTATAAGCTTTCTGATAATATTAATAAAAAATATAATATAATCAGTTTTTTAATAAACTATATTTAGACTATAGTTA